CCCCCCCCCCCCCGCCCCCCCCCCCCCCCAGCCGCCGCGGCTGTTTGAATTCAAACCGCCCTCCCTTAAATACCCTTTAAACTACCGCCCCTCGCCATTGGCCCCTCTCCCGCCGTTCGCGCCCGCTGATTGGCTCCTTTACAACCGGCCCGCCCGCCGATTGGCTCTCCGCACGCTGCGCTCGTTGCGAGGCCCAGCCTCGTCGCCGCGAGCCCCCGGGGCGCATGCGCAACGGCGGCCTGCTGCGTATCCCGAGTCGGTCCGGCCCGCCCGCCCCGAGGGCGGTGTTTGCGCTACATGCGTATTCTACGTACCGTCCGCCCGCCGCTGCCGCCTTCCGTACTCCAACTGCGTGGATCGGCGCCCCGCTCACACACTTTGCTCCGCGAAGTCTCTGCCTGGCCGGGTCTTCCGTTACGCAAATCGCGTACGCCCAGACCACCCACCTGTGGCAGCGCTACAACTCCCATCCCCTCCTCGCAGCCACCGAGGCCTCGCAGCGTGCCGCCGCCGGCGGGGGGAAGGGCCTCAGGTTAGTCCCGCATCCTGCGAGGCACCGGCCTCTTCCCTCTCCTCCTCCGCACACGCACCCGCCGCCCCGGGCCGAGGGAGAGGCGGTGCTGCCACCTCGCGTGGAGCCGAGCGCGAGTGGGGCCGGGGGCCATTGTGTCCGGCCGGCGAGGTAGGTGCCCCGGGCGGCGGCTCGCAGCCCCCAGGAGCGGGAGGACGGGCGGAGGGGTGAAGCAGGCCTCTGCCCTGCCCTCGCCCGGACGTGCGGCCCAGGGCAGCGCTCCACGTGCCGTCGGTTCTTGAGGACAAGTGCGAAGGGGACGCCCGCCTCGGCACAGCCCGGCGCGCCAGGGGAGGGACGCCTGGCCTGAGGTACCTTCGCCAGCCCGCGGACCCCTCGCGTCACGCCGGCGGCGACCCGAGGCCCGTGGTAGCTTCCGAAACCGCGCAGGTTCTCGAGGAGACGCTGAGCGGCAGCGGGACGACGCCGGCAGCGGACGGTCAGTGAGCGCGGTTCGTGAGTAGCAGCGTACGAGGAGCGTGAGGCTGCTGTGCTGTCTCAGTTGCCGGCTGCCCGAGTGGTCCTGCTCACGCCTGTGAGGGGGACCTTGGCCGCTGAGCGACAAGCGGCAGCCGAAACTAAGGTTCAGTACTTCGGGCCTCTGAAGAACCGTGACTGAAGGCAACTTTTAACTGTCTCTGCGGCGCTGAAAACAAGTGCGAGGCGACCCTGGTGTGTGTGTTGGTGTTTACAAGTGATACAGGATAGGTAAAAAGAAGATGTCAGGTCGTCGTGTGGCTGCAGCATGTGATAGACGTCAGCTGCCACGGGGCATGGGTAGCATGGCATCCCCCCTCCTTGACCCGCGGCCGCTTCGACTGCCGTTTCTTGAGGCTGACGTGAGTAGGACTTTGGGGAGGGCGGTGGCGTGCTCCCGGGACGGGCTTTCGGCCTGCTGAGAGACCGCGCGCTCCGGCAGCGGGCGATGCTTGCGACTGTGCCGCCCGAGCGGCTGGGGGCGGCGGCGGGGG